GGTGAAGATTAGCAAGATAAGAATCCATCTTCGTGCTCATAGAAACACTATTATGTTTTTTGATATAGTTGGCCTTACGGTAAACTAACGTAATCACCATAAAAGGACAGCAGTATTGATTTATCAACACTATTCCTAAAAGAGACTGTCACAACTACGATGGGTATATAAGATTTTTTCTATCAAATAGGTTGTTATTAATAGTGTCGGATCTTTAAAAGATAAATAAGTTGGCCAAGTGGGTCATGTTCAACAATGATATATTTTTCAACAAGTAAACGTTGTTAAAAAAGTAAACATTACCAACAAAGTGAGATGTAATATGTGTTGTTTAACTGGGTAGTGGATAGTGACGTCATGCAGCTAAATGGTTTTTGGGGCACAAGCCAGAAAACAAAGTACTTTTGTTATTAGTGGTGGATTAATAATAATTATACAAATAATGACAAGTGGGGTTCTTTTTACTTTTACTTTTATTATATTTCCGCTGTTACTTTGATTACTTTATTGGTTTCCAGGCATTTGGTATTATTAAAGCAGTGTATGGATAACATTTGGTATGTCTATTCTTATCCGTAGCTAATCAGCACGACGCCACTGGTTATGGACTACAAGTTTGGATCAGCTGGATAGTGGCTAAAAAGTTAAGTTCAGCTGAGTAGTGAGTAACAAGTTTGGATCTTTAAGTAAGCGTGTAAATATTACTTAAATACATTCATGAGTTACAATTCTGATATCTGAGCAAGAAATTCATGTCATATTTTTTATCGTGTTGTTGGCCATTACTGACAATGTTGGATTTTTGTGTTACCCAATAGTGATCAGGTACGGTCAGCATTGTAAACCTTTGAACATAAAAAACTTCATTGCTTAAACTCGCCACAGTTATCTATGTTAAATCTTTTAAAATATAAATACTGTTGATCAAATGAGCCATATATGACAATGTTGGATGCCTGGATATTGTTGATCAAAGGATCATTATTAACAGTACTCATTACCTGAATTGATAGATTAAATAGATCGTGACTGAATGTGCATTGATTAAATGAGGTGAGATATACATAATTAGATTAAAATAGGCTAAATGTTTCTATTATTGTTGACTCTAACAATTTTTGCCCGACGAACGATCTAATAAGGGAACAGAAAGCCCGCAAAAAAATAACTGATTTAATGTGAGAAAGGATATTTTTCAATATAATCATGTTATTTCTTTGCATTGTTTTCTGTTTTTCACATGTAACCAGATGCATTGACTAATATTTCAACAGGAACGGACTGGCCACACTAGTTCGAAGCTATGTTTCTTATAATGATATTTTTTTTTGTTATACGTTTGTTAGATGTTTAAGAGATAGTAAAAATCGATGTAAAAACAAGTTGTGTGCTAAGCAAACCGATTTTTACATGAACCCTCCTCACAACAGATAATTTTTCTAGGGTTTTGCATAGCACAGTTGTGGTACATAAGGATCAACTTAGCACTCAGTTACACGATCATCGCAAGAAAGATCGGTTCACGGACATAATATAGGAAAGTCATGAGTAGCGATTTGTTGCAGATAAATTGAAAGAAATAATGCAGGGTGTTTAAACCAAAACGCCTTATTTATTGAAAGAAACTGAAAGACACAAGTGATCATCAAAGTAGGAGAACTGCTACAGATAAAGGAAATAAAAGATGGAGATGTAAATGAGAAAAGTTAATGCAGCCGCACGATCAACAGGTAGAAAAATAGTAAAACAAAAACGGAAATTTAATGGCGAGACTTGGCTCTCTCAGAAAAAAACGAACTGTTTTTTTTAGATATTAGAGCGAATCCAATTTGAACGGCCAAAATTGCATTCATAATACATATTCTCTTTATAGCGGACGAGATATTTCCACATCAAGGTCAGGGATGACTGAACGCAACAGTAGATCAGTTTCTGGACCGTCAAGCTACAAAAACTGACACCTCAGACTGAATTTAACACATGATTTAAGCCGGATTTAGTATGATGCAAATCAGAAATTTAAAAACAGCAACAACAACAACAACTTGTAGATAAGAAATATATATATATATATACAGTATAGGAAGTAAGGTATATAGAATTTACATGTTACACGGTTAGAAATACTTTCTTTTTTAACTTTTTGCTTCAGTGAAAGCAATAAATATTCCGTTTTTGTCATGTTATATTTATCATATGCGTTGGTTTATCGAATTCAAAGGCTTTGCAGGCGCCAGTATCTTTATAGACAGTTACGTAAAACCAAAAATTGTGAACTAAATTATTCTGTTACAACGTTAAACCGGGGAAAAAAATTGTTGCAGATTGTGTTTCTGCATCTGTTTTTTTTTTAATCTGTAGACGCAAGATGTATATATTTTATATTTCAGTCCAATAAGTTTAAAGGATAATAATTAATTGTATCCTTATTTAATTTTTTGTAAACTAGCCTAATAGAGTTGAAATTTTGTTATCAATAGTTTAACTAAATGTATCATAATAACAGAGCAGGAAGAATAATTCGTCTTGTCAAATTGTGTTCTAAAGTAACTGAACCAGCCTGTATGGACTTTGACAAAAAATAGACAGTTATTTAAAGATCTGGATACAACTGTGATAACCAATAGTGTAACAAACATTCGTATATACGTTTGGCTTGTTTTAATATATTATTTTAAAACAAGTGTACTGTGTAATGTTTGTTTATTGTTGAAATTTATCGCCAACAAGTCACAGACACTTATACTATAAAGAATCCTGCCCATACAAAAAAACAGAAACATTTGAAATTTCAACTGCTCTGGTTACGTAATTAATTACAAAAAGCAAGAAATACCTAATTTTAACGTCAAAATCTTCTCCACAACTGATCATGAACTTTAATTTAATTCGTAAAAAACAAGTTGATACGAAGTTTTATTTCATACGTCACTTCCTGTTGTATCTTATGTGTTGAGATATCAAGAAAAGCTGTGGAATTCAATATCTAACGTCACTACCTGTTATATCTTAATGTTTTAAAATCTCAATAAACAGGCTATATAACATGTCTAACATGTAATGCACTCTGAAACGTCTTTCTAAATAAAAGATTGAAATTACTATTCTGATTTCTATTTTTTTGCGGTGATGGAACTAAACATCTCAATCAACTCTGTATTTCAAAAAACTCATATGATCAACGAAATTACATTTCAATATGCATACGAATTTTGAAACCATAGCTTAGGTATTTATTTTTAAAACAATTCCAAAGCATGTCCAATCAAAGCAAAATAATGATCATTCTTTTGAAAAATCAATGAATTCGACAAACAACAGAACAAGTTTAAGAGTTATGAACAAAACCATTCATGCTGTTCTCGGTTAGTAAATCGTTATAAAAAAACAGCAAAGAAGAAAATGGAATAATTCATCACTAATTCCTTTTACCGGCATTTCAACCCTAACATTGCTAAAAAGGGTATAAATTGAAAGAAGACGTTGACATTTAATTTAGTACATCTCACACAGTATATATTCTGTCAACTAATCATGCAACTACACAAAGCTGCAGGAAGGTTTGTTTGCTATGTTATTAAGCTATCGGCTTTGTGCCCACCTCAATATTGAAACCCGAACTTTAATCCTCAACTCTAAAGTTGAGCCACAGATGGGGGGAGGAGGGGAGTTCACCAGGAATGAAATAATTAACTTGGAAAAGAAAAAAAAGCATAAACAAAAATCTGATGTGGTATCTCTACTTCACCAAAATGATTGTCCCCCATGCTGGTAGATAATAAAAGCCAACTCTTCATCTTTTACTTAAGCAAATAGATTTGGTACAATATTTCTCATGTGGAGACTATTCAGACAAATGTGCCTTCTGGTGTACTGGAGCAAGTCATACATATAACAGAGTGTGTATAATTGATTTTGTATTTGTGGTAAAGCTAATAAAGCTATTTATTGCCGTCCCTAATTTTGAACTACTTACCAAAGGGAAGACAGCCAGTCAGCACGACCTACTACCAACCATCCATGCTAAGAGAGTGACTGCCACTTTTATAATGCATCCACAAATTACAGTTCATTGAATATTTTGTGATATTGCACGTATTTCGAACCCGGCTCACCAGGTCCAAAATCCAGAGCCCTATTTAAAGGTTAAACTGAGCCCGAAAATTTATAAAACAAAAGACTTATTCTAGCGAAAACTAATTAATACAATTGTTTATATCTGGAAACACGTGGTTCATATGCTACATAATTCACTGATAAACCGATTCATTGTTTGCGAGTTTTTAACTAGTCTTATAGAAAGGACCTGTAATAGAGTTTATATGAAGTAATACCTGTTAAGTTAAGCATATTCGGAAATCATTTCAGCGCTAATTTCTATTCACAAAAATCTAGTCACCACTAATAATTATAAATATGATGTTGCTGTTTTAACGCATTTTTGTTTGTTTAGCGCAAAGCTGCACAATGGGCTGTCTTCTGCGCTCTGTACATCACGGAGAATCAGACCCCGGATTTTGGCATTGGATCAAATTTTCGAGTACATTTTTTTATTTTTTATAATGTGCAAAGCTACACAATGGGCTGCCCGTATTCTGTCTATCACGTGGAATCGAACACGAAATTTAGCGTGCAAGCCCGAAAACTTAACGCTAATCCACTAACCAATAAAAATACGTGGGAGGCTCTAGCAACTAATTGAAGTGTACAAATAATGCAACTCTCGAGTAACCGTAACAATGAGCAAGTATCAACAGAGATCTAGCCTTCTGTAGCAGAGTTTTAAAACGTTTAGAACTTGTGCCTCCAAATATAAACTATCATACGTTTCGAAACGACATTTTTCACGTAGTCAGTCTGGGTACGAACTGGTTTTTATCACATATGATGGAATTAAATTTGTCATCAAAGAAGTATGACGTTTCGAATATATACTAAAACCCGCCAAACCACAAACTAAATACACATTCAAAAATCTCGTGGCTTAAACAAATGCATGCCTGATTCTCTGAAGCCAGTATACAGGATTCTGAAAATGCCATCCAAAGCTTGTGACTGGGCAAAGTATCGGACGTGCAGAATATTCTTTTCCGACCGCTGAGGTTCTGTCGCTGTTCCACAAAATCTGTCAAGCCTGTCATCTACGCTGAGGCTATCGCCATAAATATCGATGTAGTTAAGGTCACAGTTGTTGGGATGAGCGAGCTGATATTTCTGGAAGGTCAGATACATCTACAAGAAAAGAAATAAAAGAAGGTGAAATTGTTTTTCCAGACGGACAGGTTGTTATAGAGATAAATGTACCTGTATCACAACTGAAGCTCTGTTTTATCAAAATAAAATAGTATCATATCAACTTTTACTATTCAACAGTAGTTCAGCATCTGTGACCGGAAGGATCTTCTAAAGAAGACTTACAATAAGATAAAACTAGCAGCTGTCACTGAACGGATCATTGAAAGAAGACTTGCAATAAGATAAAACTACCAGCTATCACCGAACGGATCATTCAAAGAAGACTTACAATAAGATAAAACTAGCAGCTGTCACCGAACGGATCATTCAAAGAAGACTTACAATAAGATAAAACTAGCAGCTGTCACCGAACGGATCATTCAAAGAAGACTTACAATAAGATAAAACTAGCAGCTGTCACCGAATGGACTTACTGAAGAAGACTTGTAATAAGGCAATTATGATTTCAATAAACACTTGAATCTAATGACAGGAACAATACAGCGAATTAGAGTTTATAAATTTTCGAGTATGTTCTACGTAGTTTAGGCACTTTATTCAAGTATTTTGTACGTGGCAAGTGAATTCACTTGTACTCAAACCACCAATTACATTACAATAATATTTAAAAAATCTTAGGAGTAATTCTTGTTCACGAAGGTTGTTTACTTTTTTCTTTTAAGCTCCCAGGATTAAATAATACCATAACACGGTAAGGATTTGGGGAATATTCGTCCACACTGTAGCAGGTAAGGGTAAACAATAATGCTAAACGGTTGGGGATATTCGTTTACATTCAGGTAGTTTGCAGTAAGCAGTATAGTAATACAGAAAGGGTTGGAGCTACTTGTTTAAGTTACGGCAGGCTGAAGTAAATAGTATCGTAATACGGTAATGGTTGGGGTTATAAATCTACACTGCGGTAGGTTGAACTAAACTGTAGATAAGTCTAAGGATGTTCGTCTACACTGTACAATATTGGAATAAACAGTATCACAACAATATGTTGGTTGTGGTTGTAGATCTACAAAGCGATAGGTTGTAGTAAACAAGAGACAAGTGTAGGGATACTCTTCCACGTTGTGGCATATTGGACTAAACTATCACAATACGATAAGAGTTACAATGAGGCAAATTAAAATAAATTATATCATAATACGGTATGGATTGGGTTTATGGGTCTACACTATAGCATATTGGAATAAACTATATCGTAGTACAGAAACTATTGGAACAGCTTTTTCATATTATAACCAACACTTGTAAAATAACTAAATTTTAATCTTACAAATTTACTGCCAAGAAGTCATTAGTTATTTCTATAAGTTGACCGATCGAATCAAGTGTGACATGTCTTTATATTGCCTAATTAATCAGTATTTTCTTTGAATCAATAATAAAGAATCTCTTTGCATCACCTAGTTTAACGAACCTTTTTAACTCAATAAGAATGCTGCTCTTTATGTCACCGAGTTTAGTAAACTTTTTAACCAATATGAAATCAGCGCTTTATGTCACCGAGTTTAGTAAACTTTTTAACTCAATAAGAATACTGCTCTTTATGTAACCGAGTTTAGTAAATATTTCTTTGAATAACTTGTTACATTACCGGTTTAATAAATTTATCTTTGAGACAATAAGGAATTAGCCCTCTATATTAACCAGCTTAATAAACTTCTCTTTGAACCAATAAGAAAGCAACTCTATATATTACCTATTTAAGTAAACGTTTTTTGAACCAATAAGAAACAGCTTTCTAGACTGTGTTTTAGTGTATGAAGGTTTTAAAATATGAGTTGTGTTTACTACATATCCAAAACAGAAAAGATATCTGGACGAATTTCTATCATTATAATGATATGTTTGAGAAAAACAAACAAAAATCGGAATTCAGAACTATTATTTAAGAAAAAATTAAATTAACAGTTACAACATGTGTTTAGCTAATTAAACTGTTTACCAATACCGTCAACGCTAATCAAAATAACGTACATTAGGTTACTCACTTACCACTAAAAATAATCACATCATCGTAGGTCAAGTGTTTAGTTGTTATCAAGGTATGTTGTTATGATTAGTGTTAAGTGTTTACCTATTGCATTATCACTAATCAAAACAACATACATTAAGTGTTTAAATATATTATTAACACTAATCACAACAATGGACGTGAAGTTGCTTACCTATTATTAACCTAATGAATTTTCAAATATACATTTCTCCTTTTCCACACTAATTTACTACTTAATATACAATTGAATGTATCGGATATACAATGATAAGAATCCTTTATATTAATTAAGTTTGATACACTTCAGTGACCAAACCTCAGTCTAAAGAAACGCTTAGTTTTCAGTTTGGATACACTTCAATGACCCAGGTAAAATGTAAAGAGACGCTTACATCCTAGTTTGGACACACCTATGTGAGAAAGGTTTCAACTCGAATACATCTGAATGATTCAGATACAATGTAAAGAAACGCTTATCTCCCAGTTTGAATACACCTCAATGACCAAAACTCAGTCTATAGAAACGCTTATCTTCCAGTTTAGATACACCTCAATGACCGAAGCTCAGTCTAAAGAAACGCTTAGTTTTCAGTTTGGATACATCTCAGTGACCGAAGCTCAGTTTAAAGAAACGCTTAGTTTTCAGTTTGGATACATCTCAGTGACCGAAGCTCAGTTTAAAGAAACGCTTAGTTTTCAGTTTGGATACATCTCAGTGACCGAAGCTCAGTTTAAAGAAACGCTTAGTTTCTAGTTTGGGTACATTTAAGTGACTCATGTACATTGTAAATAAACCTTTACCTTCCTGTATGAATACACTTTATTGACCCAGGTATAATGTACAGAAACACTAACCTTGCAGTTTGGATACTCTTCAACGACCCAGATAATAGGTAATGAGACGCTTACCTTCCATTTTGGATACTCTTCAACGACCCAGATAATAGGTAATGAGACGCTTACCTTCCATTTTGGATACTCTTCAACGACCCAGATAATAGGTAATGAAACGCTTACCTTCCATTTTGGATATACTTCAATAATCCACGTACAGTCTAAAGAAACATTCCAATTTAGAGAATAGTTGAACATTTTCGGAGTTATGTCTTGATTGCTGATGAACCCATCTGATCCATTCTTGTAGAAAATGCACTCTGTGAGAAAAACAAACAAATAGAATTTAATAAGACACCCTTGAAAATTTTAAAACAAATATTTTATTTGAGGATCTTTCTATATCCAAGTGGCATATTTGTTAATTCATCTAATTATTCCCGTCTGTTCAAAACTATACATTGTTTTCGTCTCCAGCTTTGAACTAGCTGCTTTTTCTTATTTTGTTTCATGAAACAACATTCCTATAAACTCTAACTATATTAAAATTTATCATAACAATTGCTTGAAGACAATCATTTATTATTATTATTGGACATATTTTATTTTGACAGATTTCGTAGGATTCCAGTATATTCACTACATATTTGCTTTCAAGGCGAAGATTTATAAATAGAATCGATTGAGGCTTTTCGTACAAAGTGTATGACTTACTAACAACAAACAAAGAAATATCTGACGTCAAGAGGAAAACAGAAGATTTAATACTACAAGCTTATCCTATAAAAAACGACAACAATTTACCACTCACCTTAGAGTGCAGTAAAGTAATTAGTGAATAAATTTCAGTTTTTCTATTAGTACTTACTCATGAAAAAAAGTATCTATCTGTTGTGAAGATATAAGGACGCATTTGAACTTGTCACTTGAGTACAGCGAATCCAATCCTTTGAAATATAATTGAAATCTTATATTTTCCGCTCGAGGGCAAGTTAAGAGATAGATAACGTTGACAAAAGTTCAAAAAAAAAAGAAACTATAAAATTTCAGTTTGCCAAAAGGTATCTGTACCTGGTCAATGTAAGAGAATTAAACGCTGTTTCTTCGTACGTTCTAGCTCTGTATATTAGGGAATCTTTTCAACAGATTCTCTTGATGCCATTCACAAAACGTGATATACTTTATTTACTGAGAACATATGAATGAAACTGATGTTTTCTTCTTAGGTTTACTGTTAGGCTTAGCTTTAGTGCTCGTAATGCGAACGTGATTATAGCTCTGATCGGAGTAAACTCTCTGTTGAGAATTTTCTATACACATTCTTGTTTTTTCAGTACAATTGACACTTTAAATACATGAGGTAAACATGTCATGTGAAGATGTTATTTTATTGTATCGTTTTTCAAAGTGATGAGTTTATAATTAGATACAACAATTGACTGAGTGAAGCTGTACAAGCCTATACAACATTTGACTTTGTGAAGCTTTACAAACTACATACAACACTTAATTATGTGAAGTATTACAAACCAGATATAACACTTGACTGTGTGAAGCATTACAAACGTGATACAACACTTGACTATGTGAAGCATTGTAAACCAGATACAACACTTCACTATGCGAGACATTACAAACTATATAGAACACTTGATTGTGTGAAGCATTACAAAGTAGATACATTAGTTAGCTATGTGATGCGTTACGAGCCATACTTAACACTTAATTGTTAAACATAACAAGCTAGGTACAACACTTAACTATGTGGAGCATAACACACCAGCTAGAACACTTGATTTTGTGAAGCATTACAAACTATGTACAACACTTAATTATGTAAAGCATTACAAATTAAATACATCATTTGGCTGTGCGAAGCTTTATAAACTGGATAAATAATTTTTGGATCCTGCATAATATGTAAGGACATACTAAATCGCTACTGAGACTATAAAGATAAATTAAATCTCTTATTTTTTTCTTTTGTTTAGAATGATATTATTGTTTCTGTAATTAGTTTTAACTAAGTTATGTTTTCAGTCTTTTCTCTTATTCTTTTGTGAGATATAGCAGTATATTTATTTATTGGTAGAAAACACATGGTTATTGTAAAGTGTTAGTGGACATGAAAACAATATTACATTAGGGGCACTGAATAAGATTATATGAGAAATCATAAACAGATGTATGAGTTTTGCAACAATGTTGTTAAGAAGTTAAACACATTTCTGAAGTGTAACTTACCTTCCACAGGAGGTCGGTGAAAATCTGTAAAAAAAACCATTTGGAAAGTTATTGAAATAATTAAGTATCTTTAGATCTGTCAAAACTACGATGTGTGAATTACATTTCAAAATGTTATAAATATTGATTGAATATGAAATGTATTGAAACGAGCCACATTACTCTTTAAATTATTTAATAACATTTTTTTTAATCCTAATCCTAATCCATCACATCGCCGCAAAGATAGTTAACTCAGATGGATGGCTTTTTGTTGTAGAATTGAGATACTGTATTCTTAGCAATCCCTTTACGTGTTTCCAAAAAGAAATGTATATGAAATCATTTAAAGCATCTCTTAAACTGAAAATCGCTGATGATAAAATGTTTTTGAAATGTTAGGTCACATATTTTAACGTCAAATTTAGCGATGTGTAATATTTTTTTTTTGAGTTAGGGTTGTAACAAAACCTTATAATGATAGATCATTAAAAAATTTGGTAAAACCAAATGTTTTGGTTCATGCAATACATCAGAACTTTGCATTAGATTGCAAATTCAGGTTTATGTTATAAAGATCTCTGAAAGGCATGGCGCCAATAGTACGAACCGAGTCTTATCCAACGTAGGTGGAATTAAAGGGGTTTAGAGTTAATTTCCTAACTGACCAATAAAATTAAGTATGTCATAATTACTTGTTTTGTAGGGAAAAAAAACCCATTAAACCATACTACAGAAAACAAGAACACTCTTCTACTAAGATTTTCTCCTGTTTAGATCCATAGAGCGGAGGTATGTTTTAAAATACAATTTCAGCCAATCGGCATTCTCCTTAGTTAGACTAGTTAAGTCTACTGTCTAGATCCATAGGGCGGAGGTATATTTTAGAAAAACAATTTCAGCCAATCGGCATTCTCCTTAGTTAGACTAGGTAGTATAACACTAGCATCGTGACTTACTTTCTATCGAGATAAACTGGTATACAGCTCTAAAACCACTGTATTCTATACTATCATCAGATGAGAACTTCAACCAAAGATGACTATCAGAAGAGCGAGTGAGTGGTGGAAAGGTGGCGCCGCAGTAGCGTCCAAGCTGATCGGAATATCCATAGGGACCGTCTCGGATTATTAAATAGTCGTAGTCACAGTTGCTGGCCTCTTCTAGATGGAAGCTGTCTCGAAAGTCTAGTTCTATGTAATATCCATAAGGAGCTAGTTAAAAATATTGAAGAAAATCAGAAATTAATACTCTCTGGGGGGGGGGGGAGGGAGTAGATTTTATCTATTGGTCAATATTACTGCTTATAAAATGTCTTGGAAATCACATAAAGTGAAAAAAAAAGCCGATAAATCAGAATTTAGAAACTTGATAACTCGAAAATTTTATAAAGATTGGTCTTCTTTCTACGGGTAAAAATATATTCCTGAAGAAAGAAGGTCGAAGGTTCACGAATTACCACGTTAGGCATTATTAAGAAATATCATTTTAAGTAATTATTTCATACCACATACTACTGAACATAAAATGTGTCGTAACTTCAGGCTAAAAGCACGAGAAAGATCTCAGTAGGAC